GGCCCACCACTGTCTCCTTAACCGTCAACACCATCATCCCTCAACCCTCATCACCATCGCCCATCAACCCTCACCAGTCACCACCGTGCCCCTTCAACCCTCACCACCATCGTCTATAGCCGCCACCATCTCCACTTCTGGGAGACAGAAAAGGGAAGAGAAAAAAAGAAGGGGAGAAAGTTGAAAAGAAGATCTAGTACAGATCTACCGTAGATCTCGGAGAGAGGGAAAAGAATAATTGGAAAAAGAGAGGAAGAAGAAGAAAAGGAATAAGAAGAAGATTTGAGAAGAAGAAGGAGGAATGAAGAATAACAGATCTGGGACGGGGGGAAGAAGAATAGGGGGAAAAGAAAAAGAAAAGTGAAGAGGAAAGAGAGGAGGAACGGATGAAGAAATAGAGAAGAGGAAGGAGAGACGGAGAGAAGGAGAAAAAAAAAAATAAGAATTGAGTGGCGAGGAAGGGGAGAGAAAGGGGAGAGGGGGAGAGAGTGAAAATAGTAAGTGGGGGTATTTTAGGTAGTTAGTGTATCAAAAATTGAAATGGGAAGATTTTTTCCGGACGGGGAAAAAGGAGAAACGGGAAGATTATTTCCGGACGGAGGGAGTAATACAGATTGTGAAACCTAAGCAATATGGTGGTATTTGTATTCTTCATTAGTACAGATTAAGTATTAAACACAAACTTTGACATGTAATGTAGTTTTCACAAATTGTACTAGTAATGTAGTTTTCAAACAAGTTTTCCAAAATTTGTAATTTATAAATTATTTATGTTTTAAAATAATGAAAACTTTATATTTTATTATATGGTCTATTTGTTTCCGTCAATAATGACATTAATATATATTCATAACGTAAGTACGAGATGTACAACGTTGAGGTGCGATACTCATATTAAAGATATCTCAACTAAAACTCTAAGGGGGTGTTTATTTTTTTGGTGAGAAGAGCTTCTAACCACTTATGTTTGCACCGTGCAAACGCGGGCAGACATTAGGATGCACAGACTGTTTGTTTTTTTAGAAGACAAACCACTTAAAAACGTCTTCCAAACATCTTCCTCAAGCAGACATAAACAAACAGCTTCTCATCACGTCTTCTCATCAATTATGATCCATCTCAAAACCTACCCATCCGCCTCCCTTCATGATCTCTCCGTCTGGCCCTGTGCGTGACCCTCTACCGCCGGAGTCTCCACCACCGCCGGCGACTCATTTCTCCCTCTACCGGCTTCTCCTCATCATCCCCAGCCATCCACCGTCCGTCTCCCTCGTCCTAGCTGTCCGTCGTCCATCTTCCGTCTCCCTCCTCCCCAGCCATCCCTCTCCCTCCGCCGGCTTCTCCTCATCCCCGTCGGCGACGCCTCCTCCTTCTCTTAATCCCTGTCGACTTCTTCTCATCCCTTCCGTCCATCTCTGCCGTCCACCTCCTCCGATTCTCATCCCTACAGCAACAAGTAAGTTTTTTTCCACTTTGTTTTGTTTTTGTTAATCTCTTTTTTAACAATTTTTTTTTAAATTTTTTTGTTGTTAACAATTTGTACAAAAGTCTATGTTTTTTTTTACATTTTTTTACATTCTTGTTATTACGGAATAGAGTAATTGAGTAATCAAAGTAAACAGAAAACGTAAAGGCACACAGATTTTACATGGTTCACCAACGTTGTGTTGGCTACGTCCACAAGCAAGAACAAAGGTTCCAGAGTACAGAGTTCTTGTGCCCTAATATGCGTAGCAGGCATTTATCGAGAGGTTAGGAGGAGTAAGATTCATCAATTTTACGAACAGAGCACCATAGGGTGGTAGTGGCTTCCGTGGCCACTGAAAACCAGTGGCCATGGAAGTTAGCCAATAAAATTTTAAATAAATGAACTAATTTTACATTTTACTTTATTATTTTTAAACATTTTAAATTATTAATTTGTTGGAGTGACTTTAACAAACTTCTTATACATTGTTCTTCTTAACTTCAACACAATACATATTCAAGGCATATTAACAAATCTCATCCCTCCCGGCAACAATTTGTACAATGTTTTTTTCTTACATTTTTTTAATCTCTTTTTTTATACGATAGTCAATAATTTATTTGAAAAATTGTTCTTCTAGTTATTTTAAAAAATGTTATTGTTCTTATTTCAGTATTGTAGAACTCTTATTTAAATTTAAATGTTTAAAAAATATTGATTGCCTTAAAAATCTATTTATTTTAAATTTCAATTTATTTAAGCAATCTGCAGAAGTTAAAAAACAAACAGTCTTCCTCCTCTTCTTCTTTTGTAGATGTGTGCAAATGTGCTCTGCAGAATGCATATCTTTTTTTGGAGAGAAAACAAAGAGCACCTAAATTGTACACAAAAAACAAACACAAAGGCAAGTGTTTGTGAATGGGGCATAAACACTTGTGCCCCTCTTTGGGTACAATATGGGCCTTTTGGGGGGGTAGAAATTAAGGTACTCCTCATTTTTATAATTTGAAAATTCGAACACTCTAATGTGTCACAAAAGACAAAAAGGAAAAGGAGAGACCCCCAGGCGCGCTG